AAATGATTCCTATGCATCCCCTAGATTGGTCGCTAAATGTCACCTGCTAAGAAACTACATTACCGAGGAAAGAAAGTTGAAAAAAAAGCCTAAAAGCAATTTTCGTGGGTTTATTCGATTTGCTAAAAATTGCGCATGAGCAGTTGTTCTGCACACACAATATGCCAGGAAATAGTATGCGACTACGTAATGGTTAACTTTCAAGCTGAATAAATACGTCGAATTTGCTGGAAGGGTGATTTTTGATTTGCTCAAAGTTGCATTCACGCGAGTGCTCCAAAGAGGCGCTGTACCCTTACCTACAAGAATAGGCATAAGCTTTCAAGCTGCCCAGAGAGAAGGCTCGTTTGGATATGTACAAAAATAGCTTTTCGCAGAGTCGTATCTTTTTGGAACAGCCTACCAGCCGATGTGGTCAGCTCAATGTCATCGAGATCTTTTGAGAATAAGGTCAATGAAATTCTGAGAACACAGGGCTGGTACTAGGGGGAAGGGCATTATGGAAGTGATGCATTTCAACTCAAGGACAGATGCATTAATGCTTGGGTTGTTTATGCTTGTTAGGAGTTGTAAGCGTCTGTGCTTGACTGCAGAACCCTCTTTCACCTTCTTCCACATTTCTTCTGACGCTCTCCAATTCCTTGTTGGATTACTGGTAGCTGATTCTTGCTTGCTTACGTGTCAACACTTCATCTCCTACTGTTGTTGTGAATGTTCAGATGCGTGGTATCACTTATTTCGCCCCCTTCTCCCCCTACACACGCACCACGAATGGCGCAATTAAAGGCACAGTTCGCGACCGCAAATTGCGGGAAACGGAACTCAAATAGGCACAAAAAAGTGCTAAGTATCTGATTAGCGGAGAAAAGCAGCAGAAAAAGCAGTCCGAAATGTTATAGAGAAAGATAACATAGTGGCTACTAGCTAGTAGCTAGCAGCCGGTGAGGGTCGGCATGGGCCTAAGGGGTGTCCATGGGCCTAATTAGTCAGCTTCTAGCGGAGTTCTTGCCGTTTTTCACATTTTGAAAGTAGCGCAGCCTCAAAAATCGCCTTCCGGATCGTCCGACACATTTGAGAGGTCATAGCCTTATTTTATCGCGGAATGTGCCTTTAAGTGGACCTCGGTGGACCCGTCCCCTCCCCCTCCCCTCCCTCATACTTCATCCAACTTGATTTCATGTTGCCGTTTATGAGTTTCAAGCTGTTGCTTACTAGCTGCCGCTTATCGGTCAATGTGTTACATAACTCTTTGTGATCTGTTGCTTTACTAACCGATAATATTAGGTTGTCGCATAAGTTCTTATACACGACTTTTTTGTAAATATCTCAAAACGAACCAGCCTGGAGATTAGAGGTATGCACCATCACCATTCACTACGCCAGCGCTCAGGCAGCTTGTCGATTCCATCCTTCCAGAACGACGGAGGCTGGGACTTGAAGAAGTCGTCGAGCGCCTTTCTGACCTGATCCTTTGTTTCGAACTTTTTTCCGTCCAGATAGCGCTGCAGGTGGCTGAACAGCCAGTAGTCAGAAGGAGCGAGGTCAGGGCTGTAGGGGCGACCATCAGCCATCCGTACTTCTCCAGCTCGGCCTGGGTCGCCTTTGCAGTGTGAGGTCGGGCGTTGTCATGGTGGAAGTAGATTTCCGCATTCCTTCCACGAGTACGGTCGACGTGATCTTTCAATTTCCGCAGCTGGGTCACGTATGTGGAAGCGTCAATCGTCTGTCCCTTCTCCAGCAGCTCCCAGTACTCCATGCCTCTTCTGGACCACCAACAGGAGCCTCTTTTGGAAAGTGAGGAGAGAAAGTGCAGGTGGTCACCCTCCTCGAGAGGTCATAAGCGGACAGTTCATGTGGACCCATCGACCAAGCTTTGCTACCTTGCCGAGCTTTTCTAGTCCACGTGCAACCGTCGAATGATCATAGCTAAGCATGGTCGCCATTTCTCTGGTGGTGAGGTACGGGTCCTCCTCCACGGTGGAACGTAGTATTGGGTTGGCACATAAGTACTTTCGTTTTTTTTCAACCGGAAATTTCGTTCCAAAGATGAAATGTTTTGCTAGCAAGCTTGATATCATCTGATAGGAAACTTCACGTAGTTTTAGAATATCAAAACGGCTTCGGTTGAGGGAATAATTTTTGTGGATTTTTTAGTTGAAAGCGAAGTCGGCGAAAATTAGCACCTTCGACAACTGCCTCTATTTACGTATAGTCGAAGTGCTAAAATCGCTTAAGCTGCTCCATACATTTGGAAAAGGTCGAGCTAGAAGTTCCAGCAAGGGAATCTCACTAGGACGCTTTGGAACGAATTTCAAGAATTTTGAAGTTACCAACCTTCACCTCGCCGATATTGGGCAGCTCACGTCTGTTCCACCTGAAATTTTATGCTAATATTTGAATGTTTCGCTGATATGTTTTGCATGTTCTGATAGCAAATTTCGTGCTCTATAACACTGCTATAGAAATCTGTTCTCCAGAGGTGTTTGCTTTCTGTTAAGTTCAGGTTATCATTACGGAACGCGAAGTCGTTGAGAACTAGCGTTCCCGTTCTCCACGAATTTTATGCTAACATTTGAATGTTTCGCTAATGTGTTCTATATGTTCTGATAGCCAATTTCGTGCTCTATAACACTGCGTTGCAGTTATTTTGAAAATCCGTTTGATGAACCTTGTTTTTCAGGTGGATAATATGGAATGTCAGGTCGATAAGCATCAGCACTTCAGACATCTCCTCCTTTTCGCATTCAACAGAGGTATCAGAGCTGCTGATGCTGCTCGGGAAATTCGCTAAGAGCTGTCCTAACACTAATCTGTTACTCTAAGCCTTACTCAAACCATGGCGATTCTATTGAGCTGCTCTAGGAGCTTTGAAGCTTCAGTGGACAGCGGTTGAGAGAGGAAGTCGGGAACTCTAATTCTCATCGACCTCACGTTCCGTAAAGATAACCTGAACTTAACAGAAAGCAAACACCTCTGGAGAACAGATTTCTATAGCAGTGTTATAGAGCACGAAATTTGCTATCAGAACATGCAAAACATATCAGCGAAACATTCAAATATTAGCATAAAATTTCAGGTGGAACAGACGTGAGCTGCCCAATATCGGCGAGGTGAAGGTTGGTAACTTCAAAATTCTTGAAATTCGTTCCAAAGCGTCCTAGTGAGATTCCCTTGCTGGAACTTCTAGCTCGACCTTTTCCAAATGTATGGAGCAGCTTAAGCGATTTTAGCACTTCGACTATACGTAAATAGAGGCAGTTGTCGAAGGTGCTAATTTTCGCCGACTTCGCTTTCAACTTCAACGACTAAAAAATCCACAAAAATTATTCCCTCAACCGAAGCCGTTTTGATATTCTAAAACTACGTGAAGTTTCCTATCAGATGATATCAAGCTTGCTAGCAAAACATTTCATCTTTGGAACGAAATTTCCGGTTGAAAAAAAACGAAAGTACTTATGTGCCAACCCAATACTTCCAAATCCAACTCCATCGGCCGACCGACCTCGGAGCATCTTCGAGAGAAAAGTCCTTTCTTGAATTTGGCGAACCAATTCTTGCATGTCATGTAAGAGATGACGTCCTCACCGTATGTATCCACCAGCTTGGTATGGGCTTCCTTTGCATTCCAGCCGAAATCGTGGAGCAAAACCAAACAGTGGCGCAGGTACGTTTTGTCACAGTGCAAATTGTGCGACATTGTGTACTGCAAATGCAAGCTCGGTGAGTGATAGCTAGTGTAATGAAAGAGTATAATGTACACGTCACGCACACGTGATGACGTAATACCAACATCCATGCGAACGAAATAGGAGAGGATCAAACACGTGTATAAGAACTTATGCGACAACCTAATATCATAATCATAATCCTTGCCATCTACCAGACGGACAGCTGGAGCTGGAGAAGTGTATCATTTCCATCCACGAAATGCGCGGCAAATGGTAGAGAGCTTTTAAAAATAGATGCATTTTCGGGCTCCATCTGCTATCCATAATGTGCGGAATGCACGCCGATGTCAAAGTTTCGCAGCGAACAACATAAATTGCAAGCTGTCTACCCTAGCCAAGAGTAGAGAACAGCCAAATGTGAGAAAGCACGCATAAGTAGAGCTTCTGTTTATAGTTAGGCGTGGCTGGTTGTTCAGCAATCTCGCGTGGCAGTATGCGGGGGGGGGGGTGGGGGAGGTCAGCCCTAGATGCACGGCAGTGAATACCCCTAGTCCCGCTGCCGTGCACTTTCGACCGGAAAAAGTGGCCCGCTACTTTAGCTGCGGACCCATTCATCTCGTAGGAGAGGACCAGGACCGAACGTGAGTAGACAGCTTGCCTAAACTGGACTGGAACCTGTTCTCAGGATTTCCAGAGGCTTGCAGAGCTCAAGAGCATGGCGGCAGGTTTGGGTTTTGCCTAGAACCCTACATTGCCATAATCAGCTTTTCGTGATGAAATTTGCCTCGATGTGGCGAAAAAAAAAACCAGAACCACTACTAAGAAAAACGGTACAAACGACGTCTGTGAGCTTGGACGGCTTTTGCACTTCTCGAGGAAGCAGTGCTGAAACCTCAAAGTTAGGTGCCGCTCTTTGCGACGCCTCCGAGCGCTTCCGGATTGAGCACTTCTATGTACGTGCTGACACACACAAGGCACTACCAATACATGGTCTTCAATGACTTCTGGAGGTCAGTCGACGTACAACTCAGTGTTATATCCTCCCAGCTTGATATGATACCAACTGGTCGTCCTCGGGGAGATGAGGACGCTTATCGGCCGGGCGACGGCTTATCCAGAGTTTGACCCTGGGACCATGAGCGTAGCAAGCGGCGCCAGCTGTCACTACATCAACTACACGGAATACTGAATACATATACGAGTTAAGTGTGTTCAAAGAAATAAGTTGTTCAATGAAGAAACACATGAAATGAGAGAAACTTTGATCTTTAACACCTGTTTACCTAAAAAACAACAAAACACAATCGATCCCAAGTAAGTTGCCATTTCAGATCATTTTTTGCTCTGCCTAGATTGTGATACGCTTCTACTGGGCACAGTTCTAGCCTTGTTTTGAGATACGCTCCTACTGGGAACAGTTCTAGCTTTGCTTCCTTGGGACTTGGAATCAGATCCACTTTGGCTCGGTTTCTTCTTCCTATGGCGATGTTTTGGAGGCGGTACTGGTTTCTAAAAAGTCACTTTGTGTGGCATAGGGAAGAATGCGTGTTGAGAACTTGTGTGCTCACCTTCTTAGGGAACTTGCTTTGATAAACTTTGATAGCGATCAATATAAGAGGAATGCATATTGCTATGTAGATCATTATGAAGCTTGGTGACGTCAGCGCTGAAATAGAAGGGATGTTCTCGAGCTCACTGTGTTCTTATTACTAATGTCGAGTTGGGCTGCTTAAGAAATACTCAATTTTTCTCTACTACTCGGCAATGCGAAGACCGCATGTGGGATCAGGCTACGCCAAAAGATCATGGATCTCGATCAGAGAATGCGACCGTACCCAGCTTATTTATCAAAGTTAGCAGCCTCTAATTACCACCTCCTTTGATCCCTACCGCATCCTTTAAGAAGCAAAAATTCCGAAAATCGACGTCTACTCGAAAATGAGGTCCACCTCTTCTTTTTATCATAGTTGCCGTAGTTCTATGAGAATGGAAATGAGAAGCTGTGCAAAAGTGGGCACTAGCGCCTAGCCATCAAATATGATTACCTTGTAGACTCTGCAGGTGTCTTTCAGTGACGATAAATTCGGTCCGAAAATTTGGTCAAAGTGTCGCAGGCCTTTGTGCCAACCTAATAGTTGCAAGCCGTTGGGGTGAGGCATTCAGACTTCGCTTCGGTCGCGCGTTCGGCGCGATCGATGCGCATGCTTTCGACTGCATCGATCGCGTCAAACGCGCGACCGAAGCGCAACCGTCGCGAAGTCTGAACGCTGCAATGACGTTTTAGATATCAGGACATAGTGAGTGAGCAGCTCACTTATTACTGGTTGCCTTCCCCCTTGGACCTATCACTATGTGTTACTATTGGCAGAATATGCAGCCGTGAGAGTGATCAAACGGAGGAGACGGCGCATGAAAAAAATAGACGATTTCCCAGTTCTTTCTGCCGGAACCAGTGTCTACTGCCGCTGAGCTAACCAAGCCCACAGACACTCCCTTTCCGAAGCAAAGGTAAGGACTGCGCGTGCAAATCAGAGCTATCATTGGCGTATTTCACTTCAGCTACGTTTTCAAGATAGAAGATCAGCAGGGCCACCCTTCTTTACCATTTCCTTTAGCATTATCAGACCTTCACATCAGCACAAAATGTATTATAAGGTAAGTTTGAAAAGCTGGAGGTTGAGAACTCACTGTAGCATGTTTCTTCGGTTCTTGCAAAAACAGTTTTAGCACCTCTGATGGTTGCGTTTATGGCATAAAAATAGCAGCCAGTATCAAATTTGAATGCAGGAGTTAGCTGAAAACAAGACTCCAACGCTCAGCTATTTCATAAGGTGTTCGGTATCCAACTTTACTAGCACTTAACGATAACTGAATGTACAGGAGGGGGGAGGGGACAAAATACACTTTTTTCCTCGACTTCCAAAGCGAAATAAGTTAGTCTTTATTGAATTCGATTGGACATTTCACCATCAAATTCAACAACACATTGTACACTATCATGAAACTCCGCCACAGCCTTCTGGACGAGCGCCATCGAGAGATTCTGCCACGCGACCGTGATTCGGTGCCTGAGTTCAGCGAGGTCGTTGATTTCTCCGCCACTGTAGACCACCCTGTTGTCCTGACTCGTTGATCGAGGGGGTTTGGGTCGGTGACGCACTGGCACTCAATACTGTAGCAGTAGGAAGTTTCCAGTATGGCACAGACGACGACATGAAGGCAGGATATCCTGTACTGTGCTGTTCGATGTAACCGCCAGCGTTCACTTTCAGTTCCGGGTTCCACGAAGGAAATATCGGTCTACCCCTTCCAGGAACTTCCGGTCCATACCATCTACTGGCGACTGCGGTGAAGATGACATCTTGGACCGTAGCGACGTTTTCGAAGCTGCTCGATGTTGGAGGTCTTCGAGATCAAGAGTGCCGGTCCCAGGTAGCTGTGCATGGGTGATTCGATGCAAAAAGTTTCGCAACTGCTTGGAGGTGACGTGGAATTCCATAGACCTTCTCCAGTCAGGCTGCGATTAGACATGGCTTCATAATTTGGTGTAGATGAAGGTGACGGGCAAAAGGCAGCCCGCTTCTGCCTGGAAGAACATCTTGAGCAGGGCACATCGTTGTTGGGGAATCCCCAAGGGGCGGGGGGGTCGTATTTGGCCGCCAGGAGAGGGGGATCGTACTTCGGCAGAGAAAAATTTATTTTATAGTTGATTAGAGAGAAACGAATTTATATCGATTTTATAGCCAGAAACATTCACGGACGTTGTAAAGGGGGGGGGGTCTATTCACTTTTCGGCCTTTCTAGGAGTGGTGGATGGTACGACCAACCCCCCTCCCCCGGTTCAACGGCTCGATTCGATGAGGAGGGACAGAGGGCCGGTGCCCTGATCTTGAGTATGTTTCGCCTCGGTATTTATATCCTCGTCTTTTCTCTGGACCACTCTGTGTTCTTTACTGATATGTGCCTCGAGCAAAGTGTCCTTTTTTATTCCTGTATAGCGCTAGCTCCGAGTCGCCGTCGAGCAGACTAGCAAAGTTTCCCTTGGCTGATTAAACTGACGCGACTCCGCCAGCCACGAATATTGGGTCCTGGTGCGAGACCTCGTTCGTAACATTACTGGCGCAGCGCTTGTCGTGACTCTGGATATATCATCAGGCACGTCGTAGGATGGGCATCCACAACGGGAGAAGTCGTTCTTGCTCGGTGGAGGGATGGGGGGGGGGTCGAACTTGTCTTGGAGATTAACGTTTTCAGCGTTTTAAGTGCGGTCCATTCCCTCTCCTTTCATCGGTTCGACTGCAATTTTCACGTTAGTGGTGGGAGGATTTAGGAAGATGATAGGTAAGACGGGTGATGGGGAAGGGAGATCGTACTAGAAGAAGAACGTTCGAAAGGGTCGTGCTTCCCAGGAGTTACCCTGCCTAAGGCACACTCTCTGTAGAGCTCACAAAAGAAGTGATACGTGGTTGACACAATTATATAAAACCTTAAAATGGAAAAGCCGTCACAAAATGCCTACCCCCACGTTAACTCGACCACTTCTGCTTTTCGTCACCACCACGCCATCGCCATATGAGCTTCCATCGTCCTGAATGAAAACCACAGGAGCGTGCCGTACGACCTGCACAAAAGATTGATACAGATTTAACGCTTACACTTCTGAACTGAAGAATCCTGTAGTTCACTTATATACTCATCGTTAAATCGCGTCCCGTTTTTCATAGACAGACTATAACTTATTATCAGATTCAACCATCCACCGGCGTCGATTTTGGCTACCTTCAAGGCGAAACGATCAGGAGATTTTGTGACATATAGTCATTATCACCAAAGTCAGTCGGGGCGTGTCAGAGGGCTTTAGCCTCCCACTACTAATCGAACACCCAAAGCCGCAACGATCGATGGAAAACAGGCTGGCGCAGTGGTGACACGCCTAGACTGCCGGCGGTAACGGTAAAGGGTGATCAATGTTTTTGGTTAATTTTCTAAGTTGAGTTATCAATTTCTTGACTGAATTCCTTTTTTTCTTTTGAGTTCGGTTTCCTTTATTTCCTGAGCTTCCTACCGCAGTTCCTTTAATTGGCAGTGATATCCATGGACTTGTCGGACCGGCTCCAGCTCCAGTAAGGCACTCGACAGTTGCAAAGTAGATCTCTGATGAACAAACTTTATTCATAGCCAAACTTTTGGCGGCGAGTTTCCAGCGAAGAAAGAGTGTAAATAATGTGGTACACACATACAACTTCAAAGAACTATTCCGCTAATAACAACGTTTCTATTATTCCGTATCTCGCTGAGGAGTGGGCCCGTTTGCTACGGAACTTCGTTCATTCGAAAGTGCTGCGGTTGCCGCTTGCTTGTCGGATACACTCGCCGCGCAAAAAAAATTGGAACAACCCCAAGTCGCGCGTACTTTTCAATAGTTCTACCTACAATTTCGAAGTTACACAATGACCTTGTTTATCCAAACTAGGTACTCCAGAAAAGGCTGATCTGAAAAGTAGAATTGGTCGATTAAAAGTAAATTGTTCAGGAGACAGGAAATTGACCGATGTACTGCTATAGCGCCGGGTGCACTTCAATATCGAACTGATCTTTTGAATTCTACATGACTTCGGAAGAATACTGGGTTCTCGAGAGTTGTAAGTAATAGGAGGAAGGAAGCGAACCGTCTATCAGGTGTGATTCTTCTTCGGATAAGCCAAGTGGGGCTAAGTTTGACAGCTCACCATGTCACCGCGTTTCCGAATAACATCTCAGCACAGTGTGAGCTGGAGGAACATGAGAAGCAGTAATGTATCAAAAAGTTGGAAGATGAAACTTTTACTCCCCGTTTCAGGATGTTGCACGCATTTCACTTCCGTTGAGTTGTAGTGGCTTTTGGATGTGAATTGGCCTGTGCAATGCAATACGACGGGGGGAGGTGCCATCTGAAAGTCGACGTTTTCATTCTCATGACGGGTCTGCAACTAAATACGCATTTTCCTAGACCGTTGCCGTGGAAAGGCTTTGGTTGCTCGGGGCTGAGCCTGTCGGGAATTCAGACCCCAGACCATGCACCTAGTAAGTGGCGCCACGACACTGCCGTGCCGCTCCGTTTAAAGGCAATTCCCGCGACCACACTTCATAGGTAATACAGTTCAAAAATAGAATTGCCCTAAGGTTGTTGACTTATTGAAGGGAAGGAACCACGAAAAAGCGCCCGCAATAAAACCCTCTTTATTTCAATTGATCATGATCACCGGACGAGCGTAAGGTGGTCAAGATCGATTGTGGATGGCAAAAGGGCGGCGAGACACTGATAAGAGACGAGAGAGGCCAGAAAACGACGAGCGAGAGAGCACAATGGCAATGTCACAACGACACGATCACCGGAGGCCGGCATGGGCCTATCGGGCGCCAATGGGCCTAAAAGCTGAGCGCGCCGCGTTTTGCTTGCTGTTTTTCAACTTTTGTAAGCAGCATAGCCTCTGACGTTGCCTGCTTGACCGTCGGGCACGGTTATGAGAACCTAGCCACTTTAGTTGTGTCGCGGAACCTCCGCTCTACCACAGCTCCATATTATTGTGCTATAACATAATATTCTTAGCTTCTGACCCCAAGACGAGTGTTTAGAGGCAGTTGGCACGATAAATCCCTGAGACGAGTAGGATCAATACGCCTGACAGGACGGAATCCAATGCCTTAAGCAGGTGCTGCGTAGCGCCTTTCCCAAGGAAGGTACTCTCATGAGGCTCTATCGAGCTGCAGCATACATACCGACCCGGACGCCCACGCGCCCGCCCGCCCACAAATGGACGACCGTACCTGATGCTCGTATTGCTTCATTTGCGAAGTAAAATATGAAGCGAAGGGATTGATATGAAGCGGCCGCGGTGCTGCATGGATATATTAGTACATACGTGCAGTCGTACCCACCGTAGCGGTTGTTTGCACGACCTACGGGAAACTTGTCCGTAATCGTTTTCTGAGCACTCAAGAACGATGGCTTTTCTTAGCAGGTTTTTGACCAATTTCACTTCATTTTTTCGGCATTTCCCACTCTACAGCACCCCGCTAGCATTTTAGACGACTACCAAATTATCGTGCCATATGCCTTCAGGAAGAGAATAGATAACAAAAAAAAGATAAAACGATTTCTTAAGGCTTTTTTCAAAGTTTTTTTCCGTTTCTATACTTACTTTTGGGACAACTGCGGTCAACTCTTTGCGCAATTGAGCATGAGATTTGCTTCACTTGGGATATCCCACGAAAGCGCATCCGACGCCATACGATACGCAGCCACGCCCGCTCCAGTTCGAGATATAGAGCGCATATACGCTGCATGATGATTAGAAAAGTACCGTAGTCCTGGAAGGTTCCCGTATCTCACTTCAGTTGCTTGCGGTGAAGAAGTCTTATTCTTACATTCCGTTGAAATCTTTTCCTCCTTGCACACAATCACCTGAAAAACCTTGCGGAGGCGGGTGTAGCCACACTTGTGAATTTCATTTATCAGCTTACTTTACATCATTTTTTTAGACATTCTCGCCCTACCTCCTCCCTCGCAACAGCTAACTCTCGAAAGTAGAACTGTGACTGCACACATTCTATTGTGATGTTATTCTTTTTCCCCCACCCCAACCCCTTCATTCGACTCCCTCTTCCTCGTTTCCTCCTTAATTACTTGTTTGGTTTCTGAGAGCTTCCTCCCAACGTTCTCCGCCTTATCATTCCTTCGGCACCACATTTCCGAAATCAACGACACGTCGATCCTACCATAAGCCTGCGTTCATACTTTGCTTGGCAGCCATATTTTCCAATCGTCCGGTAGCGTCAGCGACTAGGAAAGTATAGATATCGAATTAGCGTCTGCCAGCGTCCTCCAGCGTCTTGTACCCTTTGATCGCGCTCACTCTCTATCAGCTGTCTGCCACCATCCTATCCTCAGTACTTTACCAGTAGTTATCCCCTGCTACCCACCTATCTTCCCACACCCTACCAGCTGTCTGTTACCCTCTTCATACTCTCCTCTCCCGGGCCGCTGGCTAACCTTAGCCCTCGAGATGCTGTGGACGCTGGTAGACACTGGCGCACGTTGGTTGACGCTGGAGGACGCTCGGAACGCTGCTGGACGGTTCTGATTACTGGTGGACGTCGCCGTAAAGTATTAACGCGACCTAAGTTTCCCGGTGGATGGGAGCGTTGACCGAAAACTCGAGCCCGAAGTAGTTTCACCCCAGGAATACGGCCTGTAGCGCGGGCGTCAGAAATCTTTGTGCCAAAGTGACATTCATGTTCCACGGATCAAACTACCCATAGGAGCAGGTTTTCAGCCACATCTAACCGGGAAAAAACTTTGGTGGAAATCTAGCCTGGATTTTGAAGGGTAGGGCAATTAAAACTGAGTAGCTTCAGAGATGTTTTGACACGTTCACATCTGGTCCACAACCAAGAGACACTTTCCAACACCAAAAAACCATCTGATACATGTTTGCTACAAATAACGGCGGATGAACTCCATACTAATAAGATAATCCGCAACCCACTGCAGGGAACAAACAAAAAAAACTGAATAAGATCACTGCCCCTACTCCCTTACATCCTTTATCCTCACCGAACTTCTGGAGTTCTTCTGTAGATAAAGGCTGGAACTCGACGTAAATGTTTCTTCCCACAAGTTTGGATGTCAGCTTTGTTGGGGCTTTCTTTGGCACTAAAAATTTCGAATTTACTAGCGATTATGTAGATTTATTTTCAAAAATGATAACAGGCAGACGAATTCCAGCCGTGTAAGCTAAGGCCGGATTTCACGGCTACCCACTGCAGAGACCTCACTGGCGCAAGGATGTAGCAACCTAACATCTATCTACTTCTACGAATAGGGAACTTGGAGATTACAGCATTTATTTAAGGACCTAATATTTATTCCCAGTCTTTTCCATACTCCCAGTACATACATCACATACTACTTGCAGATACTACGAGAAACCATACATCAGGATTTATGTGGAGAAAAGCGGAAGGGAAGCGCTTGAATCCATTTCCGCAAATACAACATTTTCAAAGACAGCCCCGCGCTCAAGTATTCGTGGTCGTCCTTCCTTGTGCAAGTAGTCCAGCCCCCAAGCTAGAGACTGTCCCACTCTCGCGACTCCACAGTGAGCGAGGAGCGAGCTACAGCCGCTGAAAGTTCTAGTTCTAACGCCCGCCCAGTTGGACCGCCCACTTGCTAGATGCCCTCTGACGGAGGGCCGCTCAGTTTTGTTGGGGCGGCGGGCATTAATCGGAATTGCATGCCCTTTTTGCTGACCGCGCTCGTGCCCATAAATGATTCTGCTCTCCTTTATTACATTTTATTCATTAGGAGCACATACAGTCAACTGCAACCCATCTCGCAAGGTAAAACGCGTAAAAATCACGAGTGATGCAATTTTCTTGGTGCAAAAGCTCGACGCACTAAAAGATGCACGCTACCGTAACCCTAAATTCGTACGCCGAGTTTTTGAAAGTTTCTTTTTGTCAAGAGTTTTCCGTCGGTGTTTTTGTTGCTTTTCGTATTCTTTTCTTTGTATTGGATGACAGTTACTACTAGGAGCTGCGAAAAAGCGATGTTGGTGGCAGCACAGGGACCAAAGGGTGGTTTAGTTTATTACATGACTGAGCATGTGAGTCGCCATCAGAGGCGACGTTAGAACAACAACAAAAAAAATTGAGACGAACGAAGATAGAGAACAACCAAAGATGATCTGCACAAATGAAGGGAATTACATATCGATAGCTGGAACAAGTGATTGATACATAAATTGAATTGGGTCTATAACGAGCGCGGGGAAACAGTTACATCGTCATTTAACCCATTGCGTACCGCGGCGTTTTCGCGAAAACGGGCGCCTGTGGCCGACGCCTTTTTGTCGACGCGACTCATGGCGCGCCGAGTATAAACAAATAAGATTTTTATCACATACATATGACATAAAAATAATGCATCTACTTCGTATATGACATAAAAATAATGCATCTACTTCGTATTATACATTACACTTGTATGCATGACTGTGATAAGTAAAACTGGATACCATTACGTGATAAACGTGATGGGCTAAAAACATGCGAAAATTGACAAAAAGGTTGATAAATTCAAAAGGGATTGGAAACAGGACGTAATATGTTTATAAATTGTTCAGCTTTACTATT